TGCCCTTTCACATCGCAAGCCCCTAGCTCCTACCCCCCTCGCCCTCTTCCAAGCCGTCCTTGCAAGCTCTGGGGCTGGACCTGCTCTGGGCGCTGAAGCGGAGTCCCTCCACGGCCACGGCCACGTCGCCGAAGCGCTCGTCCACGACCGGGCCGGGCCGGGGGGCCCCTGGCGGCCCAGGCCCTCACCGCCCTGGCCCAGCAGCTGGAGGTCGACCGCTGGAAGCCGGGGGCCGGCGAGGCGCCCGGGGTGGCCAGGCTCCGGGAGCTGTTCGGCTCGAGGCCGGCAGCCAGGAGGGGAGCGACCTCGCGGCCGCCTGCTGCATGCACCCGTGGTACAACAGCGACATGTTCGAGCCCAGGTGCGGCAGGCACGCCGCTGCCTCGGAGTGCCGGCCGCCCCCGCCTGCACGGCTCGCGCCGTGGCGATGCTCTACGCCGGGGCTGGGGGGGAGGTGGCCGACCTCCACGCCTGGCTGGCCGCCGCTGTGCTGACGTGGCACGGCGCGGCGGCGGCTGGGAGCACAGCGTCACCTGCCTGTCCGGCCACTGTGGCACTACCGTCAGCAACCCCATCAACACTGGCAGCACCAGGGCAGCCACATCCCACCCTGCACCATCCGAGCCAGCATCAGTAACACCCACAAACCACAGCGACCCCTACCCGCAACACCCTCAATCCTCCCTCCCCCCTCAGCAGCCTTTACTGCCTCCACGGGCTGTACAACACCGACTAGACGCCCCCCGCCATGCAAGCCTGGCGTATGCGTCTGCCAAATGACCTCGCACGTATCTCAACATGGTGGACGTGTTGCACGGACTTTACAACCGTGCCCACCGGTCATGCGCCATGCAGGCTGCCATACAGCATCCGCGCCCCTGCCCCCTACACTACTTACAACCGCACCCTCCTATTTACTTTCCAGCAGGCAGGGCAACACCACAGCGGCAGCACCGCTGCCTTCCATACCACCTTCCCACCGGGCCGCCCTGCCCCCTAGCCCCAAACCGCGCTACTCCCTTCCCCCTACCCCCTACCCCCGCCTTACCCCCTACCCCCTGGCCCCCCCCTACCCCCTACCCCTAGGCCCCCCTTACCCCCTAGCCCTGGCCCCCCCCTACCCCCTAGCCCCTGCCCCCCCCCACCCCCTACCCCCTACCCTACCCCCCCACCACCACCACAGGGTGTCAGCGCCCTTCGGGCCGAAGGCCCAGCTTGTCGACAGCTGACGTAGTTGTCACACCCCTGTTCGATTCCTGCCGGGAGCAGATTCCTTCTTCCTGCCCGCATTCGCCCGCCTTTTGCCGCTTTCCTGCCGCTTGCCGCCTTCTAGCACCTGCGCCTGGAGGGCTATCGGACGCAACCGCCCGCCCCCCAAGCCTTGCAGCCGGCGCCAAACGGGAACAAGGCTAGGGGGGAAGGCCCTAGGGAGGAAGCCCCTAGGGTTGGCGTCGTTTCGCTTGGGAAAAGGCTGGGCTGCCGCCATAAAGGTATTAATAACCTACATACAGCCTGCGTTAAGAAGCCGCAATCGGCACCTGAAATTGCTGCGGCGCCAGGAAGATATGGCCTCCTGATGACAAGCCAAATTTTCAAACTTCTTCCCCAATCTTGCGCACCAGGCCGCGCTTTGCACAACTATTCACACCTGGGTTCATGCCGTTCAGCACGGTACCGTAAAACAACATTACCTCACAAACGAAAAATGGCACCTCCCCCTAGCACCTTCCGAGCCGTGCAAGCCCCTAGCCCCTACCCCCCTAGCCCCCTTCCGAGCCGTGCAAGCCCCTAGCCCCTACCCCCCTACCCCCCTTCCTAGCCGTGCAAGCCCCTACCCCCTACCCCCCTAGCCCCGGCTTCCTAGCCATGCAAGCCCCTAGCCCCTTCCCCCCTAGCCCCGGCTTCCGAGCCGTGCAAGCCCCTAGCCCCATCCCCGCTAACCCCCTTCCTAGCCATGCATGCAAGTCCCTACCTCGTACACCCCGGGTAGCCTGAAGCCTGAAGCGCCGCTGCCGCTGCGCTGCTGCCTGCAAACCCATGCGTCAAACAAGGCCGGCCCAGCCGCACTTCGGGCCTTCCCGCAACTCGCCAAACCCTTGCACCGCCCGACGCAACGCCCCCCTCACATGCAGCGGCAGCATGCCAGCAGCGCCGAAGTTGCCCTTTCACATCGCAAGCCCCTAGCCCCTGGGGTGGAGCCGCTGTGCAGCTGGCCCGCCAGCCCCCTAGCCCCCTTCCGAGCCGTGCAAGCCCCTAGCCCCTACCCCCCTACCCCCCTTCCGAGCCGTGCAAGCCCCTAGCCCCTTTCCCGCTAACCCCCTTCCTAGCCATGCATGCAAGTCCCTACCTCGTACACCCCGGGTCTCCCTGAAGCCTGAAGCGCCGCTGCCGCTGCGCTGCTGCCTGCGAACCCATGCCTCAAACAAGGCCGGCCCAGCATGCAATCCCGCCGCACTTCGGGCCTTCCCGCAACTCGCCAAGCCCTCCCACTGCCCGACGCAGCGCCCCCCTCACATGCAGCAGCAGCATGCCAGCAGCGCCCAAGTTGCCCTTTCACATCGCAAGCCCCTAGCCCCTGGGGTGGGGCCGCTGTGCTGCTGGCGGGCCAGCCGCCCGGCCGTGTTGTCCCTAGGCCTGCCGTCCATTCCAATAAGAGAAGCCTCAAGTGCCACTGCCGCTGCGAGAAGCCTCAAGTGCCACTGCCGCTGCGCTGCTGCCTGCGGACCCGTGGGTCACCCTGCCCGTAACTCAAACAAGGCCGGCCCAGCCTCGATTTCGCGTGCCCTCCCGCCGCACTTCGGTGCTTCCCGCAACTCGCCGCCCTCACATGCAGCGCCAGCATGCCAGCAGCGCCCGCGGCCGCCTGGGAGGCCCCCGACGGGGTGGGCCGAGACAAGGTGGTCGCCGGCTGGTGGGCTCTGCCGCCGGGTGGCCAGGGGCCCCTGGGGTGGGGCCGCTGTGCTGCTGGCGGGCCAGCCGCCGGGCCGTGTTGTCCCTAGGGTTGCCGTCCATTCCAATAGGAGAAGCCTCAAGTGCCACTGCCGCTGCGCTGCTGCCTGCGGACCCGTGGGTCATCCTGCCCGTAACTCATTACTGCACCCTCCTATTTACTTTCCGGCGGGCGGGGCAACACCACAACGGCAGCACCGCTGCCTTCCATAACACCTTCCCACCGGGCACCGCTGAGTCCGCCCTGCCCCCTAGCCCCAAACCGCGCTACTCCCTTCCCCCTACCCCCTACCCCCGCCTTACCCCCTACCCCCTGGCCCCACCCTACCCCCTAGCCCTTGGCCCCCCCCTTCCCAGCCGTGCAAGCCCTTAGCCCCTTAGACGTAGCATAGATTCTCACCAGCCAACACCAAGCACCGCTGGCCAGGCTGCCTCCTGACCCGTAGGGCACCCCGACCGTAACTCAAACACCAAGCAAGACCACCTCCCCCTTACCTCGACTCACCATGCAAACTGCCGTACAGCATCCTTGCCCTTCCGCCCTGCCCTCCACCATACCAGCTTCCGCCAGCACCAAGGCTATACTTCATAGCCCCACTGTAGCACCACGGTCAGCACCTCAAACCATGCCACAGCGGTCATCCCACCCCACATCACCGTAGTCACCAACAGTAACACCCGCAAACCACAGCGACCCCTACCCGCAACGCCCTCATTCCTAGCCGCTGAGTCGGCCACTCGCCATGCAAACTGCCGTACAGCATCCTTGCCCTTCCGCCCTACCCTCCACCATACCAGCTTCCGCCAGCAGCAAGGCTCTACTTCATAGCCCCACTGTAGCACCACCGTCAGCACCTCAAACCATGCCAGAGCGGTCATCCCACCCCACATCACAGTAGTCACCAACAATAACACCCGCAAACCACAGCGACCCCTACCCGCAACGCCCTCATTCCTAGCCGCTGAGTCGGCCAAATGACGTCGCGCGCTTCTCAATTTGGTGAACGTGTTTCACACACCTGACGACTGCGACCTACGGCCACACGTCATGCAGGCTACTTACTCGCCAGCAGGCAAGACAACAACACAAGGAAAGCACCGCTGCCTCCCGCCTAACCCCTTCCAAACCCCTGTGTAAGTTCTAACCCCTTCTCCTACATGCAGCGCCAGCATCTGAGCAGAACCCAAACCGGCCTCCAACAACAACGCCACCCCCCTCCCGTAACTGGACACCGCCACCATTTACCCTAACTTTAGTTAGCAGTTGCCGCCTGCAACTGCCGGCTGCAACTGCCGGCTGCAACTGCCGGCTGCAACTGCCCGCTGCAACTGCCCGCTGCAACCTCCACCTGCAACTCCCGGCGTCAACTGCCGCGTGTCACGTCTTATCCTTCGCCTATCCAACCGAAACGTACCTAACACTACTTAATGCACCTAACCTACTGCCACGACTTTACAGCTGTCCTTAGGTGCTCAACCAGTCCTACTGAAACCACTGCAGCTGTACTATGTAATAGTAGTTCAACCGTACCGAGAGCAATGTACACACTCTGGGAAAACGGAGCGTTCGTATTTTGGGGAGAATTTGTAATCTAGGCCAAACCATTCGTATTCTAGGCCATGTGGGCTTTACGAATGGTGTTCACACAGACATGCACCTAACCCTCTCACTGGGTGTATTTAAGTCCTATATTGTGTTAAAATCCACGCCCCACCTAAATTGCACACATGTGCACACACGCACTCTGACTCCCTGTTTTCCGTATTCCATCTGGCACGATTCGTAAAATTGGGACACCCGTCCGTATCCTGGCACTGGCCCATAATACGGAGTATCCCCAGCCGAGAACAGGTGTAATGCAGGTATACGACGTGCTACAGGAGTCCTTATGAAATTGTTTTGACAGGTTTACGCAAATTTAGTACCATGCGGCATGGACAGGTGGTACCTTACATACACAACTCATCCAAAGTGTGCTCTGGGAAAAGCACGGAAGGACCCGTCACCCAATGGCAGGTCACTTCACGTTCCGCCACCACATCACCACACGACTCTCATACGAAGAAACCGGCCCCTCATGCCAGCATGGCCAATATTTTGCTAATATTTAAGTTAACATACACTGCACGGACAGGCCTACCTAACCATAGCGTAACCCTACAATACATACTGCTCTATACCTACGTGTCTGCATGCCGTGGTGCCACGAGACTGGCATGATACAAAGTACCTTAGGCCCAGCATGCACAAGTCAAGTCATGTTTGGTCCTGCACACACACGCACCTACGCACGCCAACAGTGCACCCGCGAGCTCTGCACGCGGTCTAATAAAGCATTTTAAAGCCTAAGCCATGCCGGCGGACCCGCTGTAAGCGGCCGTGGTGACACGATACCGGCACACAATACATTCGGCACCACAGCATGCACAAGTCACCATGTTTGGCCCGGCACACACAAGTAACACTCCCTGCAAAAATGCAAATTCGAGGTCCTAGTTGCCCTACCTATAGCCTAGCCTAACCCAACCTAGCCTACCCTGTCTAACCTAGCCTGACCTACCATGACTCCTGCCTCCCATGCATTGTACATGCCACCTCCCCCTAGGCCATGCACTTCCTCTTTCGACCCCGCACACCGCCTTCCCCACGCTGCTTGCTCTCCACGCAGGTTCCCGAGCTGTTGGAGCTCCCGCCAGCCTGAGCCGTGCTAGCTGGTGTTGCGATGCCCCCCAGCAAACTGCACATCTTTTGCCGCCACTGGACAGTGGCTCCGGTCGCCAGCAGAGAGTTTACCCCGCCTCCATCCTCCAGCAAAGACCGGATGGTGGCAATGCGCACCGTGGAATCCAGCCTGCGCTTGTATAAAGCAGTCAAGCCCTCACCCATGCGGGCAATGCCACCCTCCTCCTTCTGCACGGCGGATCGCAGGAGGGAGTGCAAAGCTCAATGCGCTAAAATTTGCAGGAGTGTCGCAGGAGATAGCAATTCCCCCATTGCTGAAACAACTCAACACAAGTAACCGTGCAGGAAGTATTACAGCAAGTATTACAGCACGTCATATCCTAGGTGTAGAAAGACGTACCTGCAGCGCTTTTGCTACTGCCACCTCCGCCCTGATGCGGTTCTCCATCCACGCGATGTAGCCCTTGTTGAAAAGGACCACGCACCCCTCGAAGCTCTCCGAACCCCCGGTCTCTGCAGCACGCCGCAGCAGCCGCTGAGCAGACTCCTGGACGAGCCCCTCGTCCTTACTGCCGACCAGCTTTGCAGCTGCCGCTGCCGCTGCAGCGGCACGTTCCTCCTGGCAGGTCAAGGCAGTCGCCTGCACGCAGGCCAGCCACTGCGCCTGGCTGCAAACCGTGTAATTTACGGATACCGTTGCATCCACGTTGTATGCCGCATGGACACAGCAGGGCGGCACCACCCCGACCTCATTGTCTCTGAGCTCCAATACCTCCCCGCCAAACACAGAGCACAGAGACGCTAGGAGCGCTGGGTCCACTGTGCTCATGGACCGCACCAACAGGTCAATGTCCGCCTTTTTGTACTTAGGGTTCTCAATCAGGGTGCGGAACGAGCCGGGAGCGATCCACACAAGCTTGTGGCCCTTGAGAACCACGATTACACTTGGTGCCGCCATGGGATAATCCTCATGCGACCCCGTCAGTGAGCCCCTACAGGGATGCACAGCCACAAAGGAATAGTAATAGATCCTCTCAGCTAGCTAGTCCATGGGAGCGGTTTCTTTTCCATGCATTTATATCCCTTGCCCTACTCCCTTGCCCTACTCCCCTGCGTACACGCACCCCAGCCAGCCCCAAAACGACGCCATTACCCGCTTCGCCAGATCCCAGTGCTTTTACTCATAGTGGAATCCCTCCCCACCCCACTCCACACTCCACTCCCCGCCCCCCCGAGGCTTACTTGCTTCCTGCTAGCATATCGCACACCGCGGTGTTGAGCCCATGGTAGACCTCCGTTGCCCCCACGCCAGCACGGTCGAGATAGGTGTCTGTAGCAAACAGGTGTGGTAGTGAGGCCCGCAATGCCCTGGCAAACCGCTCCGCCCTCTCACTTCGCCCTGGGTTCAGCGCCTCGGCATCCGAGATTGGCCTGTTTGGCAAGAGGTTGTGTAGGCCCCGGTGATGGCAAGGAGAGGTGAAGGCGCATGCTTCAAAATCCGTGGCGAACAGGTAAAGGAATGGTGGTAGAAATGGAGGTACCGTGGGTATGTAAGTTGTGTACTTTCTGACAGCAGTATCCCCTGTTATCACTGACAATAGCATCCTCTGTTCTCCCACGGTGCACGCATGCTTAGCCGTGGTCGGCAGCCCTCACATCCCCACATTCACAGAATAAACCCCTCTTACCCCTGTGTCGCACCACCGCCATACCGCAGTGCATGCACCAGGGTCAGGTTGCCGCAATATCTGATCAGGCCGTCGTCTATGCTGCCAGTGACCTCGGCTAGATGCTGGTGAAGGGGAGCATCCCTGATCTCCTTCACGGAGTGTACAGCCCTTGCCTTTCCAGGCTCGTACTGGGGGGGGAAGGAGGGAGGAACATCAAGGGAGGTAGGGTGGGTTAGGAAAGGTACCCAGGCGGGTAAGAGGGATCCTAGTTGGTTGATTCAGTAGGTGGACAGCAACCGAACAAGGGCCATGCATTCCAGGTATACCACGCAGCTCGTGAGTCCGTGTTCCAATGCCAATGCCCCAACATCACCAGCCATGCTCGACAACTTACTTAATGCTTTACGGTGACGTGTTATGCATATTAGTCTTCGTATCGATGATAACCATGTCGATACGTACCAGTACAGTCTGCTGCACCGGGCATTCGCTCCCGGTCAAAACGTCCATTAGCTCCTCCTTTGCTGCGTTGAACTCCTCGAAGCCCGGCTTCCCCACAAGAGATAGCTTTTCCGCTTGAAATAATGCACTGCTGAGAACCGGCTTAGTTGCTTCCTCGCTGAAGCATGGGCGGCCCTGTTTGTATGCGACATCAAGCAGTGCCTTCTCCCTAGACACCTGCATAGTCTAGTATATATAAGTTATGAATCGACTATCCTTGAAAGTTGCACGCGCTCTTTGTCGATGTGTGCGTAACAATGCCTTCTAGCTGGGCTCTGTTCACGCACTGGACGCTACGTATGTACATGTACAAGGAACTAATACAGTAGTGGAATGCAAAGCGAGTTACCAAGCAATAATAGCCCAGACGATCCAGCTGTCGTACCAAACATGAACACAAACTTTGTGTGTCAAGTTAACGACAGTTCGCCAATATTCTCGCATCCTCCACCACAGCGGACCTATCTGGTTATTCTGTAACTGTCATAACGAGCGCTGGCACAACGTACACTGTCCACACAGCCTAGGTTTCAAGCAATGGATACCACCACCAAAATTCCGGGATTGACCCTGAAGCGCTGCCGCCCTACACCTGAATGGGAATGCACGGCTTGCACGGTCCGTATCACCAGGGCGGACAAAGCCAAAAGGCACGTCAGGTCTTGCAAGATGCAAGGTAGCACCCTGCTGCTTCAGCCCCAGCCTCCCCCTGCGGCTCCTGCCCACGTTGCTGCTGCCCCCGCTCCTGATGAGCAACCATTCAAAGCCCTCGACCAGCCCCTTCCCGACCAACACATGGAACGTAAGTACATGGCTTTCCCCACGAAATACACATTCTTCTACATGGTAGCGGCGCCCTGCCTGTAGCAATACTGTTACACTGAGACCCCATGACCCTGTGACCCTGCACACCTGCAGTCGACCCACCAGCTGGCTTGCCTGAGCCCGCTGCTGAGGGCTCTCCAAGGCTAACCGAGGCACAGCAGGACGCTATGCTTGCCATCTTCCATGTAGAGGACGACAATGATATGGCAGGTGAGAGTGGGAAGGTCCACGTTGTTTAACCAGTGCGAGCATGGATTGACATCATCCATAACGCAGGTGGCGAAGCTTATCCGCCTGGGGATGACATGGAGCCGAGTGAGAATGGATACCCAGCGGACCCTGACGATCCAGTTAACATCTATGCGGAAATACTTAGCGCCTATGCCGACGTTCTGGAAGGAGGGGCAGCCGACTCACCCAATAACGACGTGGGCATGGTCGACGAGGCCGCCGAGCACCCTGCCAACATCCGCAGCTGTGCCTGTGGGTGCGACATGCCGTATCTGACACCAGGGACAAGACCGTACTTTGAGGCCCATCTGGATAAGCCGCTTTGGGTAGTTAGGCACCCGTTCAGCGGCGAGGTTATCGTGCAATGCACCCACACCCTTCGACAGAAATTGAACGGCCTAATGGGCCACATACAAGAGCACGGGCCCAGGCGGGAACAGCTGGAATCCCAGCTGCGATTAGAGTCCTGTAGTTTGCCCCCTGGCAACACACTGCCCACGTCCCTCTACATGATCACTGAGCTCTCCGGTGCCCCCCGCTGGAAGGAGTACGAATACCATGTCTGCAGTGATGAGCGCTGCACCGGCCACCTGTTCGGGAAGCCACCCAACGATGGAAGCGCGCAGGAAATGGAGTGCCCCCACTGCGGCAAGCCGCGTTACAAGACCCTTCAGCTCGGCGGTGCGTACACTGGGGTGTTATGCATATGTACAGGCATGTGCAAGTCTTAACCACCTTCCTATGTATGCAGGCAAGACAGTTACTGAGCCCGCCAGCTGGTTTGTATATTTTGGAGTAGAGGAGGTCATCCGGTCGGAGTTCTTTGGAAACCCGGAATTCTGCAAGCAGCGTGGAAACTTTAGGGGCGAGGATGCACCGGGATCATCCATGTGGCATGGTGATTGGGCCAACAGGGCGCGGTCTTACAAGGATGGTGTTATTTTCCAGCACGACAGTTCCATTTACGACATTGGCATCGACTGGATAACCCCTTACAACTCCACCCAGCACAGTGTCGGCATTGTCTTCATCCGGTGCGCCGACGTCAATCCACGTGACAAGGGCAAGAGCTGGAACCAGCATGTCATCGCCATCATTCCCGGGCCGCGGATTCCCAGCACCCTTAACCCTTACATGAAGATTATAGTGGACGACCTGAAGCGCTTGGGCAGGAATGGCATGGCGGTGACGGAGTGCTGGGTGGATGATAGTGGGCAGCCCCACACCCGTTCGTTCACGCACCGTGTGTTCCTGGCCACAATCCTTGCGGACACACCCGCCCGGGTGAAGGTGTGCAACGGCAACGGCCAGAACTCTTACAGCGGTGCATGTACTTATTGCGACTTCGAGGGGACAGGCGAGGCCAACGCAGGCCGTGGTTGCACGGTCCGGTTCCGGGGCTACAAGACTGCTGTAAAGCACCAATTCGTGGCCGGGTGGGTAACCATAAAATGCCCCTTTTGTGCTGTATCAGCTTTTTACGGAAGGAGTTCTTAACACCTGAACCATTCTGCTCGTAGGCTGGCAGGGCAGTCGCTACAGGTTGGGGACCCACGCCTCCATGCTCCACACGACGTCCTAAAAAAACGAGGCGTGGCCATGCAGAACCTCAAGAGGCGCATGCTGCTGGGAAAGCCAGGCGAAGACCTCCTCTCTCAGGAGGAGTACACGGCAGCGTCTCGTAAGACCGGCTGCAAGGGCGAGAATCCATTTGCGGCGCTCAAGTACTGCGACCTTACTTGTCTTTTCCCTGTGCCAATTGGTCACGCCCTCCTGTTCGGCGTCGTGAGTGACTTCGTAGACTACGTACTGCGACCCTTGAAGGACATCAAGCCATCGGATCCGGACAAGGACATTGTCATGTCCCGGGATGCCCGGCATCAGGTGGCCGCCCGGGGCGCGTACATCACAGTAACCTCGGATTTTGGCCGGCGCTACAAGTGCGTTCTAGCGTACAGGTGTGTGCTGACTGTCCACACTTGTTGCAACTTCCCCTCCCCTCCCTGTGAAGATACCCACCTACCACCGACCCTTATCCTTGCAGAGGGAGCTATCGGATGGAGGACTGGCTCCATTTCGTAGAGACCTTCTCCGCGTACGTCTTTAAAGGTGACGTCCTGCCTGACGTACTGCGGCCTTTGTGGTGGGACCTGTGCGACGCAGTCGTGCACTACTTCCGGCCGCGCCCAGAGGACGAGACACGTGCCGAATTCCTTGCGGCCTCCAAGGCAGCCGCGTCCAAGCTTCACAACTACGCCAGGCGGCTGGAAGAGCTGCGGGTATCAAACCGCATGTTCACAATCAACCTACACATCTGTGTCTGCCGGTAAGTGGCTAGATTTGATACACATGCTTACACCGGTCACCTGTACTGTTCCCGTTCATACAGCCATGGCGGTTCCGTGTTCTTGCAGGCTTGAGCGGCAAGAGGCCGAGCTTGGCTCGACGTCTGCAATGACCGACATGCCCGTGGAGAGTGTCATGCAGCAGATGAAGAGCCAGGGCGGCCGACGGGTCTCACAGGCCCCAGAGAAGCACTTCGCGCAATGGCTGTGTCTCATGCGCCACGCCAACTCACTTGCTGTACCAGCCGCTGACGCCAACGGTGAAGCCCCCACTGCTCGACAACAGCTTGCAGAGCTGGTGGGACGGCGTTCTAAACCACTGGACGACGCCCGCTTTGATACCATGGGCGGAGATGGCTACCTTATCGGCATTGGTGCGGCGGTGCATAAGGATGACTCCCGGGTCAAGCAGGTGGAGACTGCTGTAAGAAGCATGGTCAAGTGGTACGCGACTACTCTCCCGGACGTCGGTTCGTGGTCTGCTGGGGCAGCTCGGGGTTACGGCATAAACGCGGACCTGCTTGGCGGCGTCCTCAATGCCGAGCCAACGGGGGCCCCAAAAGCAAGACACTTTTCGCGGGCCGAGGCGCCGGATGAAGAGATGTACCACGGGTCGGAATACAACCGACAACGGCGCCGGGTCACTTGCTGGGCGGCATACAAGGCCGAGGTGACAGAAGGTACAGGCGCGGCCGAGCGTACGGTCGTACGTACGTATGTGGCCCACCTCAAGTACTTCGTACACCTACCAGGTCACGAGACAGCAAAGGAGTTGCGGTTTGCGGTTGCTGACGTGTACTCGGCCAAGGAGTTTAGCGGTGGCCTCGTCGTGGTTGACATGGATGCGGCCGCGACAGCAGGGCGTGGGAGCACTTGGGAGATGTGGCGTGACTTCGGCATTCCGCTGAGCGAGCTCAAGGGCAAATTCTGCATTGCCGCACCGCAGGGCGACCGGCAGGGCCTCATGTATTTCATGCCGTACACGCACTTCACTGACCGGTGAATGGGAGGGGTGTACTAGTCTGGCGCGGGCCATCCTAGGGCCCTCCCAGGGCAGAAGGAACATTGACTGCAGGATGCACGGATGTTTGTAACGGAGGCGTAGTGCAACCCCGGAACCGCACTTCCCATTGCAGCCACTCACTGCCCCTGAATTGCACAGGGAAGCATGCATGCATAGCAGCCACATCTAGGTAGCACAGGTCCTAAGCAGTCCCCCCTTCCCCTGGCCAGACAGCCAGCAGCGGAAGGGAAGAGAAGCGCAACCGCACTTCCCATTGCAGCCACTCACTGCCCCTGAATTGCACAGGGAAGCATGCATGCATAGCAGCCACATCTAGGTAGCACAGGTCCTAAGCAGTCCCCCCTTCCCCTGGCCAGATAGCCAGCAGCGGAAGGAGATGAGCGGAAGGGAACGAAGCGGAACCATTAAAGCCACCCACGTGGGGCTGCCCCTGCCCCTTGCCAGATAGCCAGCAGCGGAAGGGAAGGGAAGCACGACCGCATGTCCCATTGCAGCCACCCACTATTCCTGTAAAGGTCCACCAGTTACACGAGATGGTCATACTTGCTTGCAGTATATCATGTATATCAATATAGTTAGCGAATCGCAATCTGGGGTTTGTAAGTTTACATGCTGTACCACACCGAGTATACTTCAAACTGCGCCCGGACTCTTCCTTTCATAGTCATATCCACATAGCTATTTAGACATACTATACCATTGCGATAGAAAGTCATGTTCACTGGTAAATAGGAATTTAGCTTGTGAGGTCAACAATGGCCTTGGCGACGGGCGCGGCTCCTATGGACGTCAACCTTCCGTCCTTTCCTAAGAACATTATGCTGGAAATAGTATCAAAGTCCGTGGAGGGAACGTGCCTGCATGACAGGCTCCCGCTTGCCATGTGTCCATGGACCGAGGACTCCCTGGCGGCTGCTCTTCAAAACGGTTCAGCTGATACCTTCTTCCTTTATGAAGGTAGGACATATTCCAGTTGCAACACTTGTATGCGGACTTGCAGTAAGGACTCTGTTTAACAATGTCGCTGGTCAATGTTCGCCCACAGAGGGTGGCGCGAGCCAACAGAGTGCGCGGATCGTTGCTAGCATCGCTCTGGTACTTAAGGACCATGTCCTGCGGCGCTTTTGTTGCCGCGCGGATGTCGTGGCGGCATTGGAGGAATTCAAGTGCACCATGCTAGTATGCGGCAGCTTTGCCGTTAACGAGGACGGCAGCATGGTGACTTGGACACTTTCCCACAGCAAGGCGTGCCGTGTGGCAGGAACAGAGCAGTCCGGATATGACGGGTGAGTGTGGAGGGGGTTTGGGACACTTTACGAAATTACACCGTCATAATACGGATCGACAAGCATAAAACGGGGGATTCGGCAGGATTGCAGGCCCATGTTTGCGTAGCTTGCTGGTGCGACATGTTCCTCTGACAAGACGTGTATGGGAACGATCTCCCGGCACTGGGGCTTTGCTGTTTGCAAACCCACCTGTGATGGGCCTATGTGACGTGACCGTGGCGCTGCACCTCCTTGCACAGGCTCACCCGGGTACAGGCGGACAACCTGGCGGCAAGGGCAGCGCCTTCCACCCTCACCAATGCAACGGGGGTCACAGCAGGAACGGAGGCGACCCGCTCAAAAAGTGCCACGATGACATTTGGCAAATTGGAGACGGCCGTGTCTGGGCTATTGGACCCAGCTGTGACCCAATCGCAGCGCATCCAGTATTGCAAAGCAATTGACGCTGAGTGCAGGAACGGCCAGAACTCGTTGGTGAGAGAAGGTGAGTAAGGCCGGGTTTAGGGCTCAATTGGTGGTGGCGCCACTACATGCTGCCTACTGTGTACTTCCATACATATTGCAATGCATGCTACCCCCTGCAACCATGCCCATTCTTAGTTCCTGTCGACCACCGCCTTTTACCCTATGTAACCTGATGCTGCAGTCACACACGGGGTCTGGCCACGGGATGCTGGCAGTGGGCACCTTGTCACCCTCAGCGACATGTCAAATGCGCACAGGATTGCGTACACGGACCTGCTCGCGGGTAAGTGCGGGGCGGCAACATGTTAACGGGGCCCGGCAAGATAGTTGGCCGACAGGATTGTAAGCAGGGGGCGCTGTACAACAGCACTAGGCGGTGTAGTACAGTTTTAGTGCATTCTTTAGTACAGTGTGTAGTACATTCTTCGGGGTTGACGGGGGCATGCTGATACCACACATACCGATACCCATACCCATGCAGGCGGCGTCGTCTACAACATGCTTACGGTAGAGCCGGGTGACAACGTGCTGTATGCTGGCTTGCCCACGGAGGATGGTAACATCGCGGCCGTGGGCATGACTTTCAACTTGGAGCAGCTGCGGTTGCTGGTGGAGGGGGCGGCGAAGTACGATTACCTAAAGACGGATGCGGCAGCTCGGAAGGCAAGAGCTGCTAACCTGTACGAGCTTCCATCGCTCGAGGAGCTGTGGATGAAGGAGTGCCGCCCGTAAGCATTGCCTTTGCATCCGTGCTCTGGTTCATTGTGACTAGCACGATATCAGACAGGCTAAACCATGCTCCATTGTGATGCGCTACCTGGACAATTGTGGGATGCAGCTGAAATGAATCGCTTCATTGTTCCATCGTCCCTTTACATGCCTTGATGCTATGCATGCAACTGCTATCATAACACGCATCCGCTGCTTTCCTCAGTTACTCGTCCACCGCCAAGGCCAACGAATGTGGCAAGGGCAAGGGCGTGAACGACCCGAGGAAGGATTTGCAGGACAAGGAGGCTTACGTGGCAAATCTCAAGACGATGGCCATGCGCGGGTCCAGCCTCTACACGGGATACGCGATTGTGGGCGGGGGTGCGTCTCAAGCTGCTAGCTATACGGAGAAGCTCAGCAAGTCCTGCAAGGAGTACTTTGAGTCCAAGGGGCAGGTGAATGGGGCGTGGGCTCGGATACGGTATGTTGTACATATGGGCACAGATAAGGGTATGATTCATAATGTTAGGAAGGCGTAATGTTAGATTTGCCCGATAATTGTGCATGGGACAGTGTATGGTGACTGCTTGCTTGTTCCTTTGCGACATTCTATACCCAACACAGTGTACCGGCCAAGTTATTCTCCCGTGTCGTGTCGTTGCCACTCATGCCACAGGCGGATGAGGAGGTTGCAGCGGCAATGGAGGGCGTAAGGGGTAGGTCCACCCAATGCACCCACTTGCAGTACGTACTGGAGGCGGGGCTCTTGTACAGCAAGGACGGGCAGGGACAGTACCCTATCGACTTGCTGAACAAGTGCCCTATCAAGGGCAATGCTGGTAGGGCCGCCGCGAGGATTCGGCAGTCCATGTACTTGCAGTACGCTGGGCGCCTTGGCGCGCTGTGCAAGAAGGATGCTCCAATCGCACCGTTGGGGCTGCTACTGGCGGTGGGAGCTTCATCCTCGTACAGGGAAGCTGGGGAGCTTATCAACCAGTACCGGGCGGCTAGGAAATCTGGTGGGTCACATGCAACGGCTGCTTGGGTCTCGGGCGTAGGGTGGGCACTTGCTTTCACTGGGGACATGCAACCACAGTGGTGTTTTCCCAGCGCAAAGAACGTGCTTTTTACGTAACACACTGGCGCCATATGCAGGCAATCCGCCCGCTCGGCCAGTGGTGGCATTGGCGCGGCGCTTCTTTGGCATCGCGCCGGAGCCTCCGTCCGTCAACACTATCCCCAACACGGCTGGTGGCGTAGGCGTTCGGATTGAGGTCGACGGAGGTGGCGGTGCTGCTGGTGGCGCCACAGGCGGTGCCGCAGGGGGTGCTGGAGGTGCTGGTGAGGGAGTGGCCGCGCCCTTGGTGAGCATATACGGGGGGGGGGAGCCGTGGGAAGGACTATTCTGGTGACCTTGATCTTACAATCACATGGCTTGTTTGAGAGTATGCTTGCTTGCGGTTAACAGTTACATGCTGCCTATAATGGGCCCTTCAGGATCAAGGTGCGGCCCAGCCTGGTGCGGCGGCCACCACAGCGCACAGCGACAAAGAGGTACGTCAATGTGAAGCCTTTGTGGGTAGACATTTGGCTAAGGACTGCATGGCTCACACAGCTCGCATCTTCTGAGCATTTGAAACGGGTATTGGGTGCAATGTGCTGAACCGCCCCTTTCTTATCCCATGTTGTCCCGCAGGAGGAGCCGGATCTGGCGCTGATTAACTTGGATGTCTTTGGTGTCGAGCCGCCAGTGCAGCAGCGTGCGCCACGGGGTCGGCAGCGGGCGTCTGGTCTGGATGACGACCTCGGAGCCCGTGGTGGCAGGAAGAAGCAGCGGACCGGGGCTGCTAAGGTGGCGAAGAGCGGTCGTGGTGGTGGTAGCGGGAGGGGAGAAGTTGGCAGTGGAAGAGGGCGTGGGCGGGGCGGCAGGGGCGGGGGGAGGGTGGCGGCAGTGGTTGAGTCGGAAGAAGAGGAGGATGGGGGTGACGAGGAAATGGAGGACGACGAGGAGGCAAGCGGGGAGTCTACTGGGGAGGGGCAGGAGGATGACGTGAGTGTCCGGGATACATCGGATGACAGCAGCAGCAGCAGCGGCGGTGGAAGCAGTGGCAGCAGCGGCGAACGGGCGGGCGGAAACCGGCAGCAGGACCGTAGGCAGCAGGAACTAGAGCAGCAGCAGCAGCGGGGTAAGAAGCAGCAGGCAGCAGTTGGGGCGGCAAAGGTGCCCAAGGCAGGAACTGGGTCGAGTGGCCAGTCTCGGCGTGTGCGGGCTAACCGCTAGATAGAGGCAGACTGGGAGTAGGTTGTTTGCAATGGGCATAGAGTAGCTGTGAGTGGAAACATGGTTCGTAGATAGGTGATCCAAAGTTGGGTTGGGTTGGCTTCACGTGGTGTACCTTTTGTATTGGTTTGGCCGTGATTGCTTGGATGATTTATTATTATAAGCTTGGATGACTTGATAGCACAAACCTGATACCCATGACCATACTTCTTATCTACCTGCAATTTTTGACGTGCATGATCCTATTTCGTTGCAGGGGCGTTGGAGTAGGTTAGTTCAGGGACTGTAGGCAAGATGTTTGATATAGATAGGCAATGGAGTAGATATTGGACTATGGTAAGCTAGCTTATGGATTGCATTGGGGGCGTGGGGCTTCCAGGGGCGTGGTCCCTTCGTATAATGGTGGTGAGCATTCGTAAAAAGGAGGAAGGGACTAGGCTCATATGCAGCTTCTGACCATGTAACGAAATGGTGGAGTTCAAAATCATATGACGCATCTCCTACGATTGTCTAACAAGCTGCGTATCCTTACTGACAGGGCTCCGTATTCCCTCGTGGGCTATCCGTAAAATTTCGTATTCCATCCGTATAATAGTGCCGTATTCTTGCAGTCCCCATCCGTAAAATGAGAGTTGCTTCCGTATTCGAGGTACAGGGGGCATAGCATGCTACCGCCTGTTTGTGCTACACGTGCTCCGGACACTATGCGGAAGTGTTCACATCCACTCTAGTGCATGTGACCGTGGGACTCCTGCATTACAGGCAATTCGTAAACCTTTCCCCACCATTCGTATCCCTTTCCGTATTCTCTGTCCGCCTTTACGGAAGATACCCTTCCGTATAATGGGGTCAAAATACGGAAAGGTAGACCCCCATTTTACGAATGGGTGGACCCTGGTTTTCCCAGAGTGACATTACTAGGCCCTTATTGTTGACGTTGGTCCTACTGACCTGCTGGCTAACACTCTTTACAAGCGTTACGTTCGTAGCACGTCCTAACGAACGCAGTGCAGATGTAGTCTCCAGGCACGCAAATTGGCAACTGGCGTTCCCGTTCTGGCACCGCAACCGACGCCTTCACAACAGCTTCGCACCAGCCCTTCTATGGACAGCAGAGCTCGTGATATGGGTTGCAAAGATAGCTGCTTTCAGTGTATCGTGCTTGACCTCCGCCATTGCCTGTTGGCTGCTCAGCACACCGCTCTCGACCATAACTGCCATCTGCCTCCTTCAAGTTGCGGTCACATATTGGCGCGAGTTGGTGCATTGTGTCGTCCTCGCACCTCCTCTCGTCATGTACTTGCCAACCCTCATGAGAGGTGCCCGTTCGGCACTGTCTCGCGGCCAGACCACCATCCTCTGCCTCTTCCTGATCATGCACCTTGCGACAGCCTTTACTACCGGGGCTACCACTTCTTCCACCACGACTACAACGGCTCCAATCGTCCCCGACACACCCCCCTCCAACTGCATCCACCTCTTCCTTCGCCAACTGAACGGCAGCACTACACTCGTCCGTATGCCAGCATCCCTACCCATGCAGCGTGTCTTGGAGCTGGACGGAGCTTACTCCCCTGCGACGGCCCATGCCCTCCGCCTCATTTGCAATGGAAGGCGCCTTCACCCCTCCCGCAGCCCAGCTTACCTACGCATCACCAACAACAGAGCCGGCGCCAAACGGGAACAAGGCTAGGGGGGAAGGCCCTAGGGAGGAAGCCCCTAGGGTTGGCGTCGTTTCGCTTGGGAAAAGGCTGGGCTGCCGCCATAAAGGTATTAATAACCTACATACAGCCTGCGTTAAGAAGCCGCAATCGGCACCTGAAATTGCTGCGGCGCCAGGAAGATATGGCCTCCTGATGACAAGCCAAATTTTCAAACTTCTTCCCCAATCTTGCGCACCAGGCCGCGCTTTGCACAACTATTCACACCTGGGTTCATGCCGTTCAGCACGGTACCGTAAAACAACATTACCTCACAAACGAAAAATGGCACCTCCCCCTAGCACCTTCCGAGCCGTGCAAGCCCCTAGCCCCTACCCCCCTACCCCCCTTCCTAGCCGTGCAAGCCCCTAGCCCCTACCCCCCTAGCCCCGGCTTCCTAGCCATGCAAGCCCCTAGCCCCTTCCCCCCTAGCCCCGGCTTCCGAGCCATGCAAGCCCCTAGCCCCTTCCCCCCTAGCCCCGGCTTCCGAGCCGTGCAAGCCCCTAGCCCCATCCCCGCTAACCCCCTTCCTAGCCATGCATGCAAGTCCCTACCTCGTACACCCCGGGTAGCCTGAAGCCTGAAGCGCCGCTGCCGCTGCGCTGCTGCCTGCAAACCCATGCGTCAAACAAGGCCGGCCCAGCCGCACTTCGGGCCTTCCCGCAACTCGCCAAACCCTTGCACCGCCCGACGCAACGCCCCCCTCACATGCAGCGGCAGCATGCCAGCAGCGCCGAAGTTGCCCTTTCACATCGCAAGCCCCTAGCCCCTGGGGTGGAGCCGCTGTGCAGCTGGCCCGCCAGCCCCCTAGCCCCCTTCCGAGCCGTGCAAGCCCCTAGCCCCTACCCCCCTACCCCCCTTCCGAGCCGTGCAAGCCCCTAGCCCCTTTCCCGCTAACCCCCTTCCTAGCCATGCATGCAAGTCCCTACCTCGTACACCCCGGGTCTCCCTGAAGCCTGAAGCGCCGCTGCCGCTGCGCTGCTGCCTGCGAACCCATGCCTCAAACAAGGCCGGCCCAGCATGCAATCCCGCCGCACTTCGGGCCTTCCCGCAACTCGCCAAGCCCTCCCACTGCCCGACGCAGCGCCCCCCTCACATGCAGCAGCAGCATGCCAGCAGCGCCCAAGTTGCCCTTTCACATCGCAAGCCCCTAGCCCCTGGGGTGGGGCCGCTGTGCTGCTGGCGGGCCAGCCGCCCGGCCGTGTTGTCCCTAGGCCTGCCGTCCATTCCAATAAGAGAAGCCTCAAGTGCCACTGCCGCTGCGAGAAGCCTCAAGTGCCACTGCCGCTGCGCTGCTGCCTGCGGACCCGTGGGTCACCCTGCCCGTAACTCAAACAAGGCCGGCCCAGCCTCGATTTCGCGTGCCCTCCCGCCGCACTTCGGTGCTTCCCGCAACTCGCCGCCCTCACATGCAGCGCCAGCATGCCAGCAGCGCCCGCGGCCGCCTGGGAGGCCCCCGACGGGGTGGGCCGAGACAAGGTGGTCGCCGGCTGGCGGGCTCTGCCGCCGGGTGGCCAGGGGCCCCTGGGGTGGGGCCGCTGTGCTGCTGGCGGGCCAGCCGCCGGGCCGTGTTGTCCCTAGGGTTGCCGTCCATTCCAATAGGAGAAGCCTCAAGTGCCACTGCCGCTGCGCTGCTGCCTGCGGACCCGTGGGTCATCCTGCCCGTAACTCATTACTGCACCCTCCTATTTACTTTCCGGCGGGCGGGGCAACACCACAACGGCAGCACCGCTGCCTTCCATAACACCTTCCCACCGGGCACCGCTGAGTCCGCCCTGCCCCCTAGCCCCAAACCGCGCTACTCCCTTCCCCCTACCCCCTACCCCCGCCTTACCCCCTACCCCCTGGCCCCACCCTACCCCCTAGCCCTTGGCCCCCCCCTTCCCAGCCGTGCAAGCCCTTAGCCCCTTAGACGTAGCATAGATTCTCACCAGCCAACACCAAGCACCGCTGGCCAGGCTGCCTCCTGACCCGTAGGGCACCCCGACCGTAACTCAAACACCAAGCAAGACCACCTCCCCCTTACCTCGACTCACCATGCAAACTGCCGTACAGCATCCTTGCCCTTCCGCCCTGCCCTCCACCATACCAGCTTCCGCCAGCACCAAGGCTATACTTCATAGCCCCACTGTAGCACCACGGTCAGCACCTCAAACCATGCCACAGCGGTCATCCCACCCCACATCACCGTAGTCACCAACAGTAACACCCGCAAACCACAGCGACCCCTACCCGCAACGCCCTCATTCCTAGCCGCTGAGTCGGCCACTCGCCATGCAAACTGCCGTACAGCATCCTTGCCCTTCCGCCCTACCCTCCACCATACCAGCTTCCGCCAGCAGCAAGGCTCTACTTCATAGCCCCACTGTAGCACCACCGTCAGCACCTCAAACCATGCCAGAGCGGTCATCCCACCCCACATCACAGTAGTCACCAACAATAACACCCGCAAACCACAGCGACCCCTACCCGCAACGCCCTCATTCCTAGCCGCTGAGTCGGCCAAATGACGTCGCGCGCTTCTCAATTTGGTGAACGTGTTTCACACACCTGACGACTGCGACCTACGGCCACACGTCATGCAGGCTACTTACTCGCCAGCAGGCAAGACAACAACACAAGGAAAGCACCGCTGCCTCCCGCCTAACCCCTTCCAAACCCCTGTGTAAGTTCTAACCCCTTCTCCTACATGCAGCGCCAGCATCTGAGCAGAACCCAAACCGGCCTCCAACAACAACGCCACCCCCCTCCCGTAACTGGACACCGCCACCATTTACCCTAACTTTAGTTAGCAGTTGCCGCCTGCAACTGCCGGCTGCAACTGCCGGCTGCAACTGCCGGCTGCAACTGCCCGCTGCAACTGCCCGCTGCAACCTCCACCTGCAACTCCCGGCGTCAACTGCCGCGTGTCACGTCTTATCCTTCGCCTATCCAACCGAAACGTACCTAACACTACTTAATGCACCTAACCTACTGCCACGACTTTACAGCTGTCCTTAGGTGCTCAACCAGTCCTACTGAAACCACTGCAGCTGTACTATGTAATAGTAGTTCAACCGTACCGAGAGCAATGTACATTACTAGGCCCTTATTGTTGACGTTGGTCCTACTGACCTGCTGGCTAACACTCTTTACAAGCGTTACGTTCGTAGCACGTCCTAACGAACGCAGTGCAGATGTAGTCTCCAGGCACGCAAATTGGCAACTGGCGTTCCCGTTCTGGCACCGCAACCGACGCCTTCACAACAGCTTCGCACCAGCCCTTCTATGGACAGCACAGCTCGTGATATGGGTTGCAAAGATAGCTGCTTTCAGTGTATCGTGCTTGACCTCCGCCATTGCCTGTTGGCTGCTCAGCACACCGCTCTCGACCATAACTGCCATCTGCCTCCTTCAAGTTGCGGTCACATATTGGCGCGAGTTGGTGCATTGTGTCGTCCTCGCACCTCCTCTCGTCATGTACTTGCCAACCCTCATGAGAGGTGCCCGTTCGGCACTGTCTCGCGGCCAGACCACCATCCTCTGCCTCTTCCTGATCATGCACCTTGCGACAGCCTTTACTACCGGGGCTACCACTTCTTCCACCACGACTACAACGGCTCCAATCGTCCCCGACACACCCCCCTCCAACTGCATCCACCTCTTCCTTCGCCAACTGAACGGCAGCACTACACTCGTCCGTATGCCAGCATCCCTACCCATGCAGCGTGTCTTGGAGCTGGACGG